CCAGTTGCTTTAGTCCAACCAAAAAAACTTGTAAAATTAGTGGTGACACAGCGGGTGAGTGGCAGCAGCACCGCTGCGTCCTTGTTGATCTTTGCGCTTACGACCAGAGTCAACCCTGCGTTGCGCAGTTTTCAACGGCCACGTTGCGCAGTTTCGCCCGATTGACACGTTCTCTCGCGCGAACATTCACACTCGCATGCTCAAGCCGTCTGTTTCTCCGCCCATACAGCGTGCGTTGAGGATCTCTCGACGTGCCGTTGCGAACTGCGCAACGCAGGGTTGACTCTGCTTACGACCCTCTCACCTCACTTCGCAGTAAACGAGATAACCCTGTCAAAGATATCTTCAACTTCTTGCCCTGCTTCCCGTAGAAGGCATTCTACAGGAAGCAGGAGGCAGTTTCCCATATAATTTTTATTAGTACCTACCAATAGAGTTTTAAATCCTGATTGCAAACCTAGAAACTAGAACTGCCGGATGAATTTGCCGAATAAAATGTGAGCAGTCAAATTTCACCACAGTAAAGTGTTACAAATGAACTGTGCGAGTCGCAGGCTTTCAGAGCCACCTTGGGGTAGGTGATGCTCTCGCTCCTTGACCGGCAGATCATGAGCTTTCTTTCGGTTATAGTGCAAATACCGAGAGCACAACTTCACGATTATACTGAATTCCAGGATGCTGTCACGTTAATATGCAACGGATTTCTGACCAAATTTGTCCACTAACAACTTTCTTGGCAGGCTCATTTTGCAGTTCTAGCTTCAGTCTATAATCTACGTCTGAAGCTCTACCGATATATCTAGGTCTTCATTTGAAGTCCCATGAGAAGTTGAATGCCTTTCCTAATTAGCAGAGGTATACTCCAAATGAGTCGATTACGTGTCGCCACAGTAATGAACGCCTTCATTATTATTGTTGTATTGGAGAGCACAATGGACTTTCCCACCCCACCAACACCCGCTTTCTCCCGTATTACGTCAAACACGATCAAGTTCCTTTCCTGATTATAAAGAGGGGGGACACTGAAAGGTTACATATGCTTCATTTTAGGAAAGTTTTTCTAGGTCGTATGTTTCCCTTACTCCTTCTTGCATAAGCATTTGATGAAAAGAGACCCAGAAGTAGAGACAAAGTGCTATGAATGGGAAGATAAGTGGGTAAATCAAAACAATAGAGTGAAAAACGACGTTGACTTCCACTGCGAGAAAAGTGAATGAATGTAGCCTTTTCATTACCATTACTCGTTTGACCGAAATCCAACTCCTATATGCTCGTACAACCTTGACGCAAGGAACATTGCTGAAATTTGTGTAATTCACGCTTTTCATTCATTTACAATACAGAATCCCAGAAATGTGGAGTGAGGCAGCGGCGCTCACGTAATCGCGTTCGTCCCACGCGACCGAAAAGTGGGAAAAGGGTGCCGTATCAAATAACGTTGTGCTTGCAGATAGGCTATACTGGCGCTATCATCGAAGGCATGCTCGGCTTTTATGGATTCGTGTATACTGACAGCAATGGCTCAATCAAGTAAGTTTGCATTAATAAAATTTCTCGATTTACAATAGAATAGCTGAAATGTAGAACTAAGCGGTGGATATTTCAAGGAGATCAACGAATTTGGAAAATCTACCTTGCAGCGGCGTAGGATTAATGGAGTTTTCGGGTCTATTCCAGTTAAGGGGGCATCATGACGCAGTTTCTCGGTGAACTTGAACATTCCAGTTTTCCACGCATGTCGAGTGACTGCCCTCACCCCCTACCACCCTAGACTGGCTACACTCCTCCTGGCTCATAGTTACCCTAGCTTTCTGGAAAAACTGCATCGCGATGGCCCCCTAAATGGAGTAGACCCAAGTCTTCAATTCATCAAGATTCCCTGGGAGCAAAAATCTCACGAATAAGCAGGCCTTGGGAATACTTATGCTTTAAAGAAAAACGATGAAGACTATGAACTGCATATCAACTTCGTCGGCAGTTCCTCAACCACGACTCTCACAAAAGAACACTTACAAAGGGGGGGGGGTCAAGGCAAGTCACGCTTTTTCAAAACAGTTTTTTGCATACCAGATTGTCCCCCGCCAAGCGCCGGAACCTCCCTACCTTGCATGAGCTTTCCCTTCTCCCTCCTCTCCTTACTCTCCCCTCGTTCCCCTCTGCTCGCCGGCTACCACGACGTAAGCAAACCAGCCCTTTTGGCGCTTCGGCTGGGACCGTATGCTAAATGTTGGGGAGGGATGGAGTCCCCGACGGTGGACAGACCACTTCAACTCGGTCCTTAGAACCGTCACAATTTGGTGCTAACCTCAGAACTAAGCCTTAAAGAGAGAAGGTCGTCCCTCTCAAGGCCTAGTCCTGGGGTGAGCAAACCAGCCCTTCTGGTGGAGCTGCTGGACCACTGCACCACTGCGTCAGTACCTCCCCTCAGACAAAAGGGTGAGTAAGGCCGTCGCCCGTTGGGACCCTTCCCCTCCTCCAACATTTCCGGCATACGGTCCCAGCCGAAATGCCAAAAAGGGCTTGGTTTGCTTACCTCGGCTTCCACAGCATCACCTTTGATCGACATGACCGAAAGTGTGCTATGCGTGTTTATAAAGCCTTGGGCAATCATCAAATCATGCCCATTGCAAAAACTACATTAGCTAAATGCTGTTATTACATGATTATACGGTTGTGTTATCCGATGAGCTTCCCTCACTCACTTCAATTTGCGGCACGACACACATTACATTAACATCCATAAACACTCCAGCTAAGCCCATCTGAATGGGTTTCTACAATCCTTCTATTTTATAAAGTTAGCGCTTTATAAAATAGAAGGATTGTAGAAACCCATTTAGAGGGCTCAAAACAACGCTTCATTTTCGCTGAACGGCTTAAGCAGTACCAAAAAAGAAGTGCAACGTACTGCCAACGGTACGATCCCCAATAGCGACCAAATTTTTGCATTTGGGTTTTCGCCTACGAGCTGGTACCGAATGGTGCGAAATGTCAAAATCAGGTCAGGACCATATTGAAGCCAAAAGCAGCTGCCAACCTTGGATGCAAGATTTGGTCGCCGCGGGTGACCGAACCATTGAGAGGACCTTGCACTTCGTTTTTGGTACTATAAAACCGTCCGGCGAAAAAGAAGCTTGGTTTCGTGGTCGATACATGCGTCCCTACAATATGCAGGGAACCGATTCGAAAAAGTGCGAATCTGAAAGACCCTCCTTGTTAGTGCTCAAGAAGGAATTCCAATGGTCGAAAGTCCAAGGGAAAATATACCTACACCAGTTTAAGGCCGCACGCTATCGCGCGCATGAAACGGAAGGTCGGCATGAGACGGGACAGCCGGTAAAGCATTAGATTCACCGCTAAACATATTGAGTTGCTTATGCGTACCGCTCCATATGCTGCTCATCTTTGCAGAAGGTCACCGTTTGATAAGCGCAATGGAGTGCGGAGCTGAAGTGGTGTCTGTTAACAATCACCATGCATCGAATGCCAAGGCCATTGAGCGGTCGGATTGTGTTGAAATAAAAACATCCAGCACTCGTTATCGTATTTCTCCGTACATCCACCATACATTTTTACGAACCCTGGGGAGCATAGTGGTCTAGTGGTATTTTGGACTGATGATAACAACGCAAATGAAAGAGTACTAAAATATAATAAAATGCTTTATCTAAAGTCTGGTTTTGAGTGACCCCTATATTCTTGTGCATATCGTTATTGTTGTTCCTTATCAGCCGCTATCGCTTTCTTTCCCCAATCATATATGTTCCCGTTCCACCCTCTACATCGATTCTTGGAACCAATGCCCCACTGTTGCTGAAACGCGCGCTATAAATCTCATGAAGTTAACGTTTTGACGCCTCTTATCAGATCTATCAGTCGTTATCACTTAGCGTCCCCCACCAAACATGTTCCCGTTCCACCCTTTATATCACCTCTTGGAACAAACGTCTCACTGACGCTGGGACGCGCGCTATGGATGTCGTGAAATTAGCATTTTGGCGATTCTTATCGGATCTTATCAGTCGTTATCACTTAGAGTCTCGCACCGGAGAGTGTGCCAAGCATTTTCAAACTGGTTTCTTGCATGACATTGGGGCACATATGGGGACCACAGAAGCATGGTTCATTTTTCCTGAACGGCTCTCTGAATACCAGAAAAGGGGTCTCCAGTTCGAGTCCTCGTGGTAACAATTTTTTGTATTTCGTGTTGACGTTTCGGAATTTGCGCAAAATTGAGTCAGCATGAATAATTAGTGCTAAATTCATGATGAGGAACATCAGTAGCCCTTACAAAAGACTTTGATTGAAAAATTTGGTGAAAAAGCTGTAACCAGGGACCCCCTTCTCTGGTATTCAGAAGGCCGTTCAGGAATAATGAACCATGGTTCTGTGGTTCCCGCATGTGCCTCTATATCATGCGGAAGACCGTTTTGAAAAAGCTTAGCACTCCCTGAAAGACCTTCCTTGTTAGTGAATGAGCTCGGTTTTTCTCTAGAGAGATTCTTTCCGCTAAAATCACTTCCATTTACTGAACGTGTCCGCATGTGTTTCACGTGGCCCTTTGTGTGCATCATGTGTTTCACGTGGCCCTTTGTGTGCATATCTTCCAAAGAAATTTTTTGCTATTATGCTACACACAATACAGGGGGTCGCATCAAATCGCCCATGAAGGGGGGGGGGGAGGTCGTGAAAAATTCCAAAAAGTACCAACGACAGGATTGACCCTGCCCCGGACTCCCCTCTGCAGTTGCATGTATGGTATAATTTCGAGCATCGCTCTCTCAACAGTGGGTTGACCGCGTGCTGGTCCTGCCTGCCAGAGCTCAGGTCACTGAGGCGTAGTTCAGGGCAGGAAGCAATGCAGATTTGAAAGGTGGGCAGGGAGCCAGATGTTCTTCGTCTTGTCTACTATTCCTTCGATGTTCACTTGCGCTCTCATGCCAGGCTCTTCTTTCTCGCTTAAGCTTGGTATCTTAGATCGGTTAACCAGATTAATTCTTGATTCAGCACATGAAACCTTCGGTTATGAACTCTCTGTATTATAGAATGGAGAGAATAGTATAGTAACGAGCTTTCGACCAAGATTGTTAACAGCTTTATTTGGCCGACGTTTCGGTGCTTTCACCTTCTTCAGAGCCTGGAAAAGTCGAAAGCTGTTTAGGAAACCAGCAAAAAAAAACTAAAAACTAAACTAAACACTATTTCAACCTACAAAATTCATTCAACAGGGAGTAAATTACTGAAACGATGTCATGGAGGGAGATGAGAACGAACCTTCAAAAATGAAGGCCAGAGATGTCCACCTGCCACCCCAATCTGGTAACGCGGCTTGAATAGGTAAAGCCTTGAGGTCATTTGTTTTAGGAATCTGCGGAGGGTCGATCATGTAGATCAAATCACTCCAAAGGACCAACTCGAGGCTAGGCGAGCCCTTGAACCCTTGAACCCTTATTATTGATTACGATGCAGCCCCAACCCCGCCCCGCCAGGAAAACCACGCGGGGGATTGATCATGTAGGCCAAAAGCCACACAGGGCCGCAAAGGGTGCCAGCTCTGTAGTCACCGCAACACACTCTTCCCTCCTATTGCTAGGGGTCTTGGCGTTGATCCAGAAGGCCTCCAAGGTTCGCCGCGCCGCAACGTCGGACTCGCGCGACAATATCGTAACTGCCACCTCAGGATAAGTGTCCGCATGACTTCGAACCCTATGCTCTCCCAGGGGAGTAGCAACTTGAGACCTTTCCATGCCATCCAGATGTTCCTTTGTCCTAACGCAGAGAGGTCTGCACGTTTCTTCGATGTACTGATCTCCGAGAATGGAGAGATTCTGGTCGTAGCATGGCTGTAGAGCTCACGGAAAATCTTTACTTACTGAGAAACGCTCTGGTTGCTCGTAGCTACGATGACTGCTTCTGCCTCTACAGAGTCGATGGTTTTCTTCAAGGCGATTAGCGTAAGACAAAGCGGCATCTTGTGCTCCCGTGATACTTCATTGAGTCTCGTAACAGTGTATATGGATGACTGTGCTGAACCCTTGTCGGAACCCTGCTGCTCGCATGGCTAGCCCTCATCCAGTATTCTGTTAATCCTGTTAGGGATGACTCGAGTGAACAGATTTCCAGGCAAATTCGGCAATAATCGCCAGTGTGGTGTTTCTTGTATACCAACACAGGGCTGCTGGTTTCCCAAGGATGGGTACCTTGCATATCGCAAATATTCCGGTGAAACCCTGTCGGACCGCCAACTCTTTTTTCTTCTTTACCAACTTTGTGGCCTATCGGACTTTGTAATAGACAACTGATGTGATGACGTATCCAATTTGTGGTAGATGATAGGTAGGCAGATGGAAATGGTCATCGAAAATCCGAGTGGATGACTTTCTCCTATCCCCTTCGGGATGCGATTCTTCCATACGGAGCTCATCTTGGTCCTGAAGCTGACTAAGCGTTGACGGGCATTGCGGATGCTCCTCCAGACCTCTGTTGCTTCAGTTGATACTACTGCTGTTCAGTGCTTGAGATCTTCTTCTAATAGCTCTCTGCGTTGCTACACAAGTTCGAGTTGCGCGGAGGAGACGATAGTCCGATGCGTAGAACTTTGGACTAACAGCGGAGTAGGTCAGGCAAAACCTCAAATCAAATATGATGTGGTCTATCTCTAGAACTGTTCATCAAGTGACTCCTAAGCTCAACGAAGGTGGGTGCTTTTGGAACTGTGAGTTACCATGGATGGTGTTGGTCGACATGATACACTCTGACAATATTTCGTCCTGCTCATTGTGAGGGCCGTTGTGGAGCTCTTCAGCCGTTCTTCTTGGCCCAGCCTTTGCGTTCAAGTCGCCTACGATGACCTCGAAGAACGTATGATTTTCTCAGCGTTTTTGAATAAATATTGTACCGCGACAATTGGTTCCTTTTGATTACGGCTCCCGCTATCACATTCCTCTTCTAAGGTTTAAAAGGAAGCGACTAAGATCACGTAGGAGCGCATCAGGGAAGCATACGCACCAAAAGTATTATAGTTATTCGGCTGCCAGGAAAGCAAGGCACTTCCACAAGATACGCTGGTGGCTGAGCAGTACTTCGAAAGCATCCCGCCTCCAATAGCAATCTTCTCACTACTCGAGTTGGTGATTTGGTAATTTTTGCGTTGCCAGCAGCGAAATCGCTGGAGCAACTAGATTGGAGCGCGGTTTGCTATGGAGCCACCAAATGCGTTGCGGTGAACTTGTTCATACCTCCGCTTTCCAAGCTATCTGATAGTGAGAGAAAATCAACGGCCAAAAAAGACCTCCTGCTTCGCGTTTTCTTGACAAATTTCTCTGCTTTTTCTTCACTGGTGCACCATTGTGCCGCTACGTCTCTTCTAATCATTTTACCACCCATTGTGATCGCTGCTTATGAATGGCCTTGAACAGAACTCCGTACAGTTACTTGATTTATGATTTCATGTGTACAGCAGCAAACGACGAAAATTAAGTTTCCCATTATTGTGACCAAGAATAAATCTAAGATGTTAGGGGCTTGCAGCTCTGCAGAACTTAGAGTGAGGTACCATCAGTTGGTTTGCGTAGTAGCCAGTTTTCGTAAGTGATCCAAATTCAGGGTTGGCGCTACTACACAGTTTGAACAAGCACATGCCAGGAAAATGGTGCCCTGTTTTGATGAGCCATCCTTCAAAGCGCCATGGAGTGTTACTGTGATTCATCCGCAAGGAACCACAGCTCTATCCAATGGTATAGAGGTTGGCAGCAGGAGGTAGCTGTTTCGAATTTCACTTATCTGCAAATGGAGTCAGCTGAACACTTCTAGCTTCGTTTTCACTTACGATCAATCCCGAACATGCTCGTCAAGAGACTGCAGCCTGCTGAGAGCCTTTTTGGCTACCCGGTATAAAAGATAATGAAAATGGAGTTGGGGCTCTTTCTTCTCTTATCCTTTGATCTCTAGAAAGTATATATTTGAGCTGCATAGCTTTAAGGGTACTAATCCATTATCACTACCCCAAAATCTCAAAAATTCACTTCTCTTCGGAACTTCCCTTGTAGAGGTTATTCGATGCCCTGATCACGGATGTGTTATTTTTGACACTGGCGCCATTTGTCGCCTATTTTCTGCTCGTCTCACTAAGCCTTCCAGAAGAGATGAGGACATGACAGCAAACCAGGCCGCTTTTGGCACATCGGCTGGACCGTATGCTGAAGTTGGGGAGGGATGGGGTCCCCAACGGTCGACGTTACTTTCAAACTCGTTGGTAGCGATAGGAGAGTACTGGACGCAAGTGGTGCAGCTGGGATACGCGCTGTCAAGATGTGTGCGGCCGAAACGACTTTTCAGTGTATTTAATTTTTTCGTCAGCTGGTAGCAAGGTCTCATAAGGAATGATATACGATGCGGTTTTCCAAAGTGTTTTTATATTCTACAATTCTAAGAATCAGGAATTTCAGAAGAATTTTTTTCGAGGTACTATCTTACGTTGCTTGGCAAAAAAGGCGAGCAAGCAAAACCTTCAGCGTGAAAACACTTGTTGACCCGTACTTGCATAACTCACATGCCTGGATCTCTTTTTTATGGCCGATAGCTCAATTCACTCAACGCACAAGTTACCCTAGGTACTTCACTAAGCATGAAGAGCCAGGAGCTGGAAATACGCTCTCAGGGGCTGCCTTATTCAAAAACTAAATGTCAATGATTAGTATTAGGACAAGAAGCGGCAGTGTCGAGAACGTGACTTATAAGTTATTTGTAATCAAAGCATCACAAGTCTACCTTTTCATGTAGGCTAACGTTTCGAACTTTCGACTCTGAGAATCTTGCGATTTCAGCGCAGCAATAGTGGCAATAGTGGCCACCTGGATAAGTCAAAACGTAGAGGAAAGGGAATAATCCCACACAGTCTGCTCACATATATCCACTATTTGCACTAGGCAACCCCTAAAGCTATACTGCCCGCCTAGGCAATGGTGTTCCTTCCGTTGTTTCATGTTCACTCCCTGGAACCATTACAGGTCGAAATGGGGAAGCTCCTCAAGCTCGCCAATTCGGCATTTCCATGAAGTAACAATCTCAACAGGGTCCTTACCCCAATAATAATTGTGTGGAAATGATGCGCTAGCTGTAGTCAAGAACATACGAGTGTCACTGAACAGAACACTCACTTGAAAAGCTGCTTGAAAAGGAGTTGGACGACTTTGGAGTGGGCATAACGGGCAATCTGACGCAACGCCCACTTGCCAGCCATAGAGACCGCGTGAATGGATGAGGGTCCTTGCGCGATTGCGTGAAACCTGATTGATTCATATGTCTTTTATTCTATTGCTGCTATCCTAAATGCGATTGCAGCCGCATTGCTGGCACGAACCAGCTATAAATGCAGGCGGAGCAGTTGAGATCGGACAGCTCGTCCGACACGGCCCTAACTTCATATCTAAGAAGAAGTGGGGAGCCGCTGTTTGAAGACTTCATCGGCGGTTTTCTTTGCTTTTTTCATTAGCCGTTAGCTCGTTCTACATTCATTACCGGCCGTTTCTACCCCACGCATTCGATCTTGAATTGTTGCTATGAGGTCCAGCAGTAGTTTGGAAACCTTTGAGCAGCACCCTTTGAGAGCTATCGGCAAGTAGGCCAAATCACGCGGCGTACTCAACGTAGTAATCCTCGTAGTGCGCTCGGTTTTTGCTGTGCGACACGTTGACTCACAAAATAAGGCAGAAGTAGCCGAAAGAACTGACGGTGTAAACAGTGGTAGGGTTTTTAGTGTTGCGGTTGGGACATAATATCTTGCATTTGGCACAAACATTCAAGACGATACACTGAACACGAAATTAGAAATGGTGTTATCCCCACATTTCTTCAACTGCGTTTTCATTCCGCAGGATTGCGCCGGATTTGTTGTCAAAAATTTTGAGCCCGTTTTATTTGTTCAGTCTACATGGACGTGGATTAAATGTTAACGCTATCAATTGTTGGATTGGATTAGTGAATGACTGTTGAGTACGATGAAGTCTGAAGTATTGTTTTTGCAGCCTCGGTCTTTATGAAAGTCAGCTGTCGGAAACGAAAACTGCTCTCGTATGACTTTCATAAGAGTGAGTATGACTGAATACAGTCAGGGAAGTGAAGAAACGAAACATAAGAGTCGGAAAAAACACATGCATTGATCGGATCATATGTGCCAACGAAACGCTACAATGTAACATTTGGTTACATCCAGCCCAACAGTTGAGACGGATCTTGATCACCCGCAGTGTATACTTTTGATGAGCGCCTCAGTTGGAAAGCAGGGTGGGCCATTGTTGATGACCGCCAAACAGAACAGAGGAATCGTCGACGTCAGAGTAGTCTGCTTCGCATTCCGCTGCAAAGTGTTCTAGAATGGTGTCAATGATGATGTGTGCGCAGCGCAATGAGTGGCTCACTATAGAATTTTAGAGCTGGAGCAGCAGCCTTAACACGTTGACGACATCGCGCGTTTTGGGTTTTTGCACCGCGTGGGACCACAACGATTTAGTGAGCGCCGCACGCCAAATCTATGGATTTCGAGCTATAAACACGCAATGCTTGGATGCGGTGAAGTGTTTTCAATAATGTTCTATTTGTCTGACTTAACGGGAGTCACAGTAATGAAAGTTTGACCAAAGTGAGGTATTAAGGCTACGAAAAGGCAAATTTTGCTTATTTCTCCTTTGGTGGTTCGAAAATTAATTTGCACGTGCTTGTTCTAGCAAAAATATTAGGTTGGTCCATATGTCTTGCCATAAGATGCATTTTATGCTAGAAAATTTTTGTGAGAACTCGGAAAATTCCGCAACATGTTTGTTGATGTACCATCCACCTTTGCATTTTCAGCCAACTGCCCAGCTCGTTGTCACGCTGCATGTTATAGGACACCGACTTCGCCAGAAACTAATCGTGACCTCAATTTTCATGAGTACTGCTTTGAAAGTTCCGCAAGTCATGCTACACCAAAGTTTATCCAATAGATGGGGGAGGGCACGCTCTCTCGGAACTGGATAGTATACCCGTCAGTGGCTGGAGCAGTTCTGGTGGATGCGGCTCTGAGGCGTTTCTAAAGGCTTGCAAAGATGCATAAATGAAGAGTTTGATTCCACAGGCATTGAGCCCGGATAAGCCCCAAACACGATCTGGCATCGTCATCTTTATAGCGACTTCCTATGGATTATTCGCATGACCACCCATCACATTTGCTGAGAACTATTAGAGGATACAGTGTGCTAACAAGCAAACAAGCGGTTTTAGTCCTGGAAAAGTTCTGGAAGTTCTTAGTGCTGAAGTTCAACCTCGTCCAAGTAGGGACCTCTCGAATTTTTGTGGAACACTAGAGTAATTAAACTCTGAAACCCCTACGTGGGTATCGCAATCAACGTAGAAATCGACCTTCCACGGCTTGATCACAACGCTTTCAATACGAAGGAGAAGCAAGACAAAAACTTCTTTTTTATGACGCCGTCAAGCCATCACTCACCACGAAAATCCATAAAAATTCTAGGGCTCTCAGGCTGTTCTTCCCTATCCGCCTTATAGGCCTGTCCCCGTGCCAAAGGGTGTCGACCTGCTCCTCTCTCTAGACCACCTCCTAGAGAAGAGATTTCATCCTAACGATCATGATGTCAAAATCGGCATCTGATCTTTCATCGGATAGCATTCAACGGAGTTTTGCAAAAGAGGGATCGGACAACTTCTATTGCCTTGGCAATAGGTTGTAAATATTGATGTATGTATTATGTCGGACGAATGGAACAAAAAGATAATCAAAATATCAAAATCAAAATTTAGCCAGTTTGTTGCAAGACTTATGGTCCAACCTGATACATATCTTCCCATACGAGTAGGTTTGTATTCGCTTCTATTATTCCTTTTATCTCATGTTCACGTTATTGAAAAGAAAACAGGGAATGAACTGAAGAGACGTATCAGTAAGGCGCGGAGAATCTCTGTGAAACTGGAGAATATCCAGTCTTTCTGTAAGCCAAGTTTAAGTATGCTTGTACGCTGTATTGCCAATGAGAACGATGATCTTAGGAATAAGTCGCGCAAGCGCAAGAAAAACTTCTACTTTGCGGCAGTAGTACCCTAAGAGCTCCTGAATCAGACTCAAAATGGCTAGAAACTCTTGGAAAATAAGCACGCGCTACAAGAACACTTTAGAATGATGAAAAGGGGAGGCGTGACAGTGGGCAACTGCGCGTAAAATTTATGACGCGATTACTGTTACTATTCCTGCTAGACGACAAGGACGAGTAGTCGGTTTTCTCTTACCATTAATCTTTCGCACTCTTTGGCCTAAACAAAGCATTTATTTACCAAATACCAATTATTACTTACCATTTTTGTGCATCAGGCAGCAATCATTCTTTCGTTGTTCACTGGAAAATATGAAAAATATCTGCTCCATTCAACCGTATGACCTTTACAGCCCCTCTTTGAATTATCCTGAAATTACTGAATGGAACAATTAGCTTCGCTTCAGTGAACCAAATAGCTCCTGGTCAATTACCCGGTTCAAAACGACACCACCGATGTCGTCGTACCTCCTTGCTATAAGTGTTCAAGAGTTTGAATTCGTCGAAAGATTTACCAAGACAGGACTGCGGGTGATTATTATTTCGTCTTCCTCGATTTACCTCTCTGATGCTTCAAATATCACTTGCAGTTTCGAGTGTGGTCACAACCACAAAGGATAAATGAGACGTCGTACGCATTGGATTTCGGAGTCAAATGTTTGGAATTTTTCGAAGACTTCCTCGAAATCAAGTATCCATTGGATAAACTAGGTTCGTCTACTGTTTAGATACCGACTACTGACTCAAAATTTTTAGTCCATTCGCCTGTGAGGAACATTTTCAGATTTTGTCGCACTGCCGAGATTTCGTGCGGGCGGCATGGAGAATTGGGGTCTGAACAATTACAAGTACGTCAGTTTTCTGGTTGGTAACTTTGAGATGTCGTTTGTGACCAACGATTATTTTGAACGATTATTTTAAGAATAAGCACAAGCACATCAACCTAAATTATTTCCTCCATGTGTGTCACTCCTCTTCACCTTGTGTTATAAAACGTGGAGGGACTATGCCGCAGAACACTTTCAGGTACAACTCGAAGTACCTGGGTACTCAAACTTTGACGTCCTTGCGGTTATCGAATTTATGTGCTGCTAAAGAGCGCGGCACTGACTTGGGTTAATATGTTGGACGGCGACAGATCTAAAGCTATATGGCGCGGGAGGAATGTAGAACGTTCTAACCCAACTCTCCGGTTTTTTGCTGCTTGATTTTTGCGACATGTGTTCCTGCGTTATCGTGCCATAGTTTAATGGCTAGCTTTCAGCTCTTAGCTCTCCATCTGCTCCCTGCCGTGGCCATCTTCTCAATTTGTTGCCGGAGAACATTCTTTTGTGAGTGTGCTCACAACGAAGCTTCCTCCTCTTGGAGTTATGCAACAGAGTTCCAGTATTGGCAACCAGTAGTGCTTGCGTGTCGCTCAGAGTACGCCGAACCCATTTTCTATCCTCAAAAGCCCTACCAGTCGCACACAGAATTTAACAATTGGATATCCCCCAAGTTTTGTTGCTTGTCGAGGACTCATTTCAATTCTTTAGTCCTCCATTATCTATAGCTATAGATCAATATCCATGCTCTTTGCCCTCAACTCCTTTACCTCAGTCTCGGAAGAGCTGAAACCATAGGTGCGAGGGCACTAGAGACTAAGTGGTACTGCTCAATGTTTTGCACACAACGAGTGGGATTCGTTGGCCGTTTTTCCTTGCTTAAATATATATGCTCAGACGATGTTTCCTGACCAATCATCTTCGAGCAAAATTTGGCTTGGAGAACATCCGCTAACTGGCGCCTACTATTTCGCAATATGCGTACACATTTTTGATATTTTTTGCTTGAATTGCTAACTCGGAGAAACGGTCTTCCATATTACGAGGTTGTGTTTTAGCTGAGAACCAAAGACATGAAATGAAGCGACATTTCAAAGCTACCAACCTACTATTTCTGGAATTAGATGGAAATGGTTTGAGAAAGCTTTCAGAGAAAGCATGCTGTTATACAGAGATGACTTGTGTTCCTTGGATGAGAGATACAAAACCGAATTTGTAATAGCCCATGAAATAGCTCATCAGGTTGTTTTTTTACTTAGTCTGTGGAAAAAATTATGAAGTGGAACCTTCATAAATAGTGAGCCCTTTGTGAAGTGGGGAGTTGCAAAATGAGCTACATCGATCTAGGGACGATTGCATTCCAGTGGAAGCAAGGTGCGCACACTTCACGCATGTGTTGCCAACTCATTCATAAAAAACAAGCATTTCGCTATGTCGTCAGTTTTTCAACCAACTTATTTTCAAGTACTATAGTGATATATCCTTCCATGTCTCCATCCTCAAACCGCAGCCCTACGAAGCACCAAAATCAAATGATGCTAAAGGCAGAATGCAGCATGGGCCTGCAATGAAGTAGGTTTATAAGTGGGCAGCTTGCCGAAAATAAAAACTCGGACTGTATTTTTTCAGGGTGTAGGTTTAGGCAACAGTTATGTCTTGTTTGGATTTTCGTTATGAATTGGTTCGAATTCGATAATGATAAGGGTGCCTAGCCTACGAGAATGACCACATTACTTCAAAAAAAGTTACTCCTTAAAGCCACGAGTCAGGATTAGGCAACCAGCTCTTCCCAGAGTGCGATGGTGGGCTCCCCAAGCATTGAGGGCGCGACACTATCGCGACCCAAAAATGCGCGGCAATGGCGCCAAGGCCTTGCCCGCCGCGCTGCCCGCGCTGCCAGCTTAATCCAACACGGCATACGTGGTCTCTGCGTCCTCTCGCGTACGACAAACTATCTCGCGTTCTCCCTCTCCTCGTAGCGCTGCGTCTCTCCGTCATACTACGGCCGGCCTCCTGAGGGAAGTTAGCTTTTCCTATGGTGCTTTTTGCTTTTTCTCCTCACTAATGTTCCTCATTGCACTCCTTGCCCAATGTTTGAAGAAAATAAAGCATCAATTCAATCTCGCCTCGTGCCTTTAAGATGATAAAATCAATCAGGCATATGTTTAAAATGTAGTCAACTTCCTCATGCATTTCACTAGTTTTTTAGACGGCTGCTTGAAAAAATTTTGGGTCCTTGATAAAAAAAACAATTTTGAAAAGGGACGACGTGGCTTGCTAGGAAATCTCAGGGTCCAAAGCTGTCGTAACAGTGTGACGTTATACAGCTGATCGATCTTTCGTGGGGTTCCAGGCGAAAATAGAGTTAATGCTAGCTGTCGGTTTGCCTAATTTTCTTCGGCTGCATCTTTTTGTAGGCCTGGAATTCAAAGTCTCCTCGACGAGCGTAGAAGAGGATAATCATTCAGTAGAGCAGACAAATCTCTTTCGGGTACTAAATGCACCACATGATGTCATAACTGGGGATTCAATGGAAAAATTTCTGTTCGAAAAAAACGACACTTATAACGAAACTGCTTAATACAAGTCTCAAGGAAGCGGTAATCATATAATGCAATCCGACGATCATGAATTGTGGAGTTGGATCCCCTCTGGAAATCTGCAGAGTCAAAAGTTTGCGGGCGTCATCCATATTCTAAGTAAGAAGGAGGCGCGAAAGTCTATGGGACACACAGCAACCCTGACTGCTGATGCATTTAATGAATTAGAGGTGTCGATGTGTGGTCGAGTGGACGAATCCGACTTTCTTAATAGTTTCTTGATCACTGAGTTCGGATTTTTCCCAAGCTTTCGCAGATCTTCCTGTTTAAGCTCAGCTGACTTTTATCAGTCTGCTACGGTCTCCGGATAGGGTTTCTAGAAACCCTTGCAATAGGTTGCACTTTCCGTGCCTTACTGGTACACCTCGACAATGTTGTTTTGTTTCCTTGACGCTGGTTCCTTTTTTTGAACTCGTCAAACAAAACATTCCACGAAGAGCCTTTCATTTTCGGGATATTAATTTGGAGAACTTGAGTACATTCACATTTTGAATTTTTCATGAAGGAAGGCAGAAATCACCTCATACGCTGCTCCCTAGCAAAACTGAAACAAGCGTTCGTTCACCTCCTTTGCCCGTAAGGTTTGGAGGCACAAAACTGAAAACCCATAATTTCTTCAGATCAACCCGTATCGCAGCATGAATCATATTGAAATAGTGCAGTAATAAAGGCTCTCTGAAGGTGCTCAATAGTTTTCTAGAGTTTCTCCCTGTAGATTTTGTTTTTGCAGTAATGCAACTCGCATATTTCCAGAAAGCTGAACATAATGCGCACTCGTATAAAGTTTCAAAGTATTTCAACTAACGTATCAGCAATTTTCATGTCATGCCCTCAAAGTAGCGACAAATCAGTTATTAGAGATTGTGATTTGATGACCTGTTTTGACGCCCTAAAAGCCGGGTAGCTTACTTGTGGAGCGTTCAGTTTTGCATCATACGGTAGGCTTCGACCACACATATCAATCTATGAACCATTATCCTTCGCCTACAACATTACTTAGCTCACATTTTGCGTTCCTTTTCCTGGGTATCCTTTATTGGGATACACGTGGCTTGTAAAATATGATCACGCATCAGATTAGCTGAATTCCTACATGCAGCAGTGCTGGCAGATGTTACGTGCGAATAATGATTCTAGTCATTGATGGCACAAATCGTGTCCTTCCACTGCTCAAAATTTCTGTCTGAAGGTCCATTACTTCGAATTCACATTCTAGCAGTTGCATATAAATTCTCAGTGATTATCTTGTGCCTACGCTATGTTGATCACTTGTGAGTGCAAACGTTTGATTGTCCATGCAAACACCGTGAAGAACCTGGTGACATTGGCTTTCCGGCGTCCATTATAAGCTCTTATCACTAGCTGCCTCTTTATCGTCCACCATTTGTGACTCGACCCACCCTACATGAAATGTATGAATTGAAACATTCCAGTGTCGAAGCGAACGGTGCAACGGAATCGTCGACATCGCAATTCCAACGCCCGTTATCAACTCTTATCCCTTTTTATCACCCATTAATTTTGTCACATCTATGTGAACAGCCTTCGCTATTTTGGATGAAGTCATGAGTTTAGAGTTAGAGACAGATCCACAAACAACCACTCGGCGGAATACCACTGCCACAAAGTGGGTATTGCCAGTTTTGTTTTGTCTTATTGAAAGAAGAGCGTCCACACTTACAAGTGTCATGTGGAAAGGGGACGTTGCTGTGGGTGATTAAAAGTGGAAACAAGTGATAAAGACTGGCAAGGAGCATCAGGATCACAACAACTACGATGAGCAGCGCATTAGCACTAGCAAGTTGTTACTTACAAATGCTATGTGGGGTAGCACGGAGACATAGTATCGATATGACCAGTTCAGTTTAAGGGAGGATTTCACGGTGAGAGAACAAAGGTCAAAGAAGTGGAAAATTGCCTAGTGAGATAGGCGGACCTCCTGAGGTTGCGGACTGATAGGACTGATACGCACTTGGCAGCGAAAAAATTGTCTTCGTCGATCTAGCGTGGCTTACTCTTGGCGCATTTGGCGCGGCACGCTTACCGACTATCTAATAACTCGCCACATGTCTTAGCAAGTGATTAGCTAGCAGAGAGAGCAATAGCGTTGAAGAGGGCGTAACGCTGCAAGTCACACTATTTCGAAACCAACGGGCAATGAAGGGTTCTCGGGTTCTGACCTTTTTTCGTTTTTTCTCCTCTTTCTTGTTAATCTCACTGACCTCAACATAATTTGATTTGGGTTGCTTCCTCATCATATATTCTGCCTTCAAGCAGGTTGTTGGCGAATGATATTGCATTCCTAATCTCATACCAAGGGGAGCACAACTAATCAAACTGCTAAACCTTAGGATTTGAGCTATGTAATGTGATGGTGAATGTAATCAGAGATGAGCAAGAGATGCTCACTGATTGTAAAAGAGCATAATTTACTTGTTTC